GAGCTGAGAAGTGGGCTTCCTTCTGCTCTGCACCCCGCCCTTGGTGCCACAGCTCCTCTGCCACTACAGCTTCATACATCTAAGTGAAGCACTCAAACACATGAGCAAAATCTAGCATTTAACTATGTATGTCAGCATTGCAACCTTCATTTCCTCTTACTCTCAGTAAAATTCATTTCTACAGATAAGTGAAGAGAACAAAAGGGATAACAAACTAAACAAACACTGCCTGGATTCCTTAACTCTACAACCAGGTAAAGTGGAAGAGAAAAAAGGAAGGACTCGACTTACAAGTTTAAGGCTTTTGTGACTTGATTTTGGAAGCTCTGAAACACCATCTGACCTGTAGTAAATAGCTTTTGTTTGGTGTTTCCCAGGTTTTTGAAGCAGCAATGGAATTTTAGAAGGTCTCTTGCAAGAGACATACTGCCTGGAGCAGTTGAAATGCACACCCTGTGTGTACTTGTAACAGGGTGAGAGCAGAACAAAGCCTGTATTTGCAATGAACGTTTTAGAAGTTCAGTAATATATTCCAGGGAAAAAAAAAAAAAAAGGTTTGAGTTTCAACATTCAGAGAAAATAATTTTTTCTTGTGTCCTCCTTCCCTAAGCCCTGACTTTCCTCACTTTCTGTAGTTACCCCTCTCCATGTTTGTTTGCCTCCCAAATCTGCCTCACCACTCACATCTGCACCTCTTTTTTTCCCCTCTGTCCCACCTTGTCAACTCCAAAGTCCCAATTCACAGAAGGCTCAAACACAGAAGCTCTCTGCAAGCTTACAGCCCTGTGACACCACTACCCTTTCTCTACCCCTGCATCTTCCCAGATTCATTCACATTAATCATTTTTATTTCAGTCACCTTCATGAAGATGGCAAGTCCCACTGAGGAGGTTACAATTCGACCTCAGAAAAAAGACCAAAAAAAAAAACCAAAAAAAAAACCACACCACCTTCTCTGTGACAACCCTAAGCTGCCTGGTCTGAATTCAGTGTTGTCCCTGCTTTGACCAAGATGCACTGGACTAGAGACCCCTAACCTCTTCCAAACAGAATGTATCATCCTGTGGTGATTCTGTGCTTGGGGTCAGGTGCTAATGAACTTATAATGCTAGTACTCACTTAATCCACCATTCATAACACCTTTAAAATGTTCTTCGGGATGCCCTTCCTAACAAGTTTACCAAGTTAGCTATACAGCTATACATACTTCATTATATTAAGAGTAAACAATTTCACTGTATCGTGTCTATCTTGCAACTCAAAATAAAAATCTACATACATAGCTTCTCTACTATAGTTCTATTTAATAGTACATCCAGACCAGGAGTTTCTTCAGTCCATCAGGAATAAATGGACTGCAGTTCTCAACTTAGAGAGGCTAATTTCAGTAGTAAGGTAAAAATGACCATTCCCAAAATACTCATTCCCCTTCCTCAGCCTTCCTGCACGTTCTGCTACTCAGTCCTAGCTACACTTGTTATCAACTCATCTTATGAGTGGCATCTTAACATTGGAAAGTTTACATTTATTTAAGTACCTACTGTAACTTTTTTCCCTCACTTCTCAAAATACTAATATTATGGTATTTTTGGAATCCGAAGGACATAATGCCTTTCCCTCCTACAGAGTTGCTAATTTCAAGATGTTTTCATGACATTATCAAGAAGTTGGACTTTTAAAAATTATTATTAAAATATAGGCATGATTTTGAGACACAAAATGTCTCTTTATAGCAAACTTTGCACAGGAATTTATCAAAAACTTCAGTGAGAGCCTATTTGCTTTCAGAGCATGCAAGGAAATAAAATTTCAAAAGAAAAATTTCAAAAGCAGCAGCTAAACTTGACTTCAAAATGGGCTGAACTAAGACTGAATTACCCTTGAACACAAAGCCACTTTCTACAGCACTAATTACATAGAAAGGAATCATCTATAATCAAGAGACTTTTTCAGTATTTTTACAGAAAACAATTTATGTTTCATCTACCTGAAGTGCTCCCAGCTTCCTCAAAATCAATATTTCCAAGGTGAAGGACACCAGCCACTACTCTAAAAAGATCAAGTTTTTCTGCATCATCCAGTCCAATCTTTTTCATTGCTGTGCACATTCTGTTGAAATCTCCATGATCATCTAAGAGTGGATCCTTCAAGGAACCTTCTTTGAGATACTATAAAATAAGATAAACAAAAAATTCAGTAAGTGATTGTAAAGTAAATGTAAGTAATTATTTTCAGTCAAGAATAAACCATAACAAAAAGCATAAAAAAGCATGCCAAAACAAGTATAAAATTATTAAAGTTCTTCATACAATACAGGCTTTGCAAGAACCATAATTTATTTTAATTTGTTGATACTTCAATGCATGATCTTCAAAAATTTCAAAGCAAACTTCAAACTATCTTCAGAAAGCAGAAGCTGGAGAAGGTGACAGCTAAGGACAGAGGAATACAGGACAGTGAACAGTGAAAGGCTAAGGGAGCTATCAAAGCATTTACACAGGACTGCTTCTAGCCCCCAGCAGTGGAAAGAAGATTGAAGACCTTCTAATAGGATGGCAAAAAGGGGCAAGGAGTATAGCACAAATCAGGACTGAAAGAGTTATCCCTACCCTAAATACTTATTTAGGGAAATATATTTGTTAACGTTTACGGTGACTAGGAAAAAGAAAAGTTGTTTGTGGTGTTGTATGGATTAGAAGAATACCAGCTATGTAAAATCGTAAAAAAACAATTTAACATTTTCCTGATTTTCATGATTTAACTACATCAAAAGCCTGTTACTGAATTTAAATAGCAGATAATAACACAGATGCATGCAATGAAGAGGCTAACCAGACATGCACAGACTGAGCTACGTTTTTACAGGTAATTTAAAATGTTTTCAACTAAAGAGAATAATTAACTTTAAACAGAAACTTTATTAATGTTAAATAAGCTAACATGATTTTTATCAAAACAAAACACCACATGCATCTGAAAAATTCACTTCACACAACATTTAGACACATCAATAAAATTAAACTACATCTTAATTATGTAAAATGATCACCTCATCTTCCTGATAAGGAAAACACAAAAATAATTGAAGTATTAATTGACTATTTCAGCTACTTTTATTAAAGTAAACAATCTTAATATTTTTCATAAAATGACAGAGCAAATTTTAAATTTCTGAACAATGCAATATATTTCCTGTTGAAGTGGCTAGACTAGGCTTAATTATCATTGAAATCTGATCCTTTATTGAGTCTTTGAATTGACATGGCTGTAACATACAGGTATTATGGCATGGTATGTTCCACTACTTAATATCTAATATATATTTTCAGAATAATTCTCTCAGTATGTTTTTGTTTAGACAAACACTTACTTCACATTAAGTCCTTTAGAGGACAAGTTTTATGACAGAACACTCTCCTGTAGATCACATCAGTGACAGATGATTGCACAGGTTCATCTTCCAGTAGCAAGAACTAATAAATGCTGATACTTTATGCCTACATAAATGACCAGCTTCACCACAAATCTTCATTTAAGGTAAACTGAAGCAAAATCTCCCAACCATCTTTCTGGTATCAACCAGCTTTCTGACTCACAGTAATATCAAGTCAGCATTTCTGTATCCCACACTCCACCATCCCTGATTACAGAAAACAGCCTGCATTCAAGCAAAAGAAATTGGCATTACGTGTTCAGTGTTACAACACACCAGCACTAGCAATCCAGGAGCAGACTTTGCAATGTCTTAAGCAAAGGGAGCACCTATACAATCTCTCATACCCAGGCATGAGCTACATACAAGCTCAAGGCCAAGTTCTCAAAGGTGAGGGAGATGGCATCATGGTCACTGGGAGAGAGAAGCCCTTGAGTAAAATTATCTTTGCCTTTTTCCACATGTATATGCAGCTTGCCATGATACTGAATCACACACACAGATTTGATTAACATCTGAAATATTTTCCATCTATACAAATGAGAAATTCATATTCTAGATATGAATACACGAAAATTATATTACAGAGCAGAATACAAGTTTAATGAAGTGTTTAAACAACTTCCAATTCACATATACTATTAATTCAGATTAAATTCCTTAGTGTTCTGGTGTGAACAAGCTCAAAAGCTTAAATACTATAAATTCTGGTCATTCCAAGTTTTTAAAAATGTAAATGGAGATGGAGCAAGAGGAAAGAAATGTTTTGAAGTTTCACATTTCCTTTCAGGAAATTCCATACTCCTCTGTAAGGAGTAGTTAATAGCAAAAGTGACAACACTAAACAATAAAGAATGCAGTGTATCAGGGAGGTGGATATGTTCGTGCTGAAAGTGAGGTTGCACTAATGTTTTGTAAAATAGTTAGTTTGGAGTATCACTTCAAAACCCTGACAATAAAAATGGTTCTGGAAAAAAAAAAAATACTGCTCCTGACATATTTCTAGCAGCAGTAAGATTAAAAAAGAAAGTTATAAAAGTCTTGGATAGATTTTTGTTTTCCACAGAAGACAAGCTGCATCATTTAAGAGTTATATTGTTATAAGAATGAAAAGGAAACAGTTTTATGTACTGTTCCATTTGAGAGTTTAAGAGGCACGTTAAAATGTATTTCTAGGACTGAACTCCAAAACTGGAGTTCTGAATATAACACCTTTGACTGCACCCATTTAGACCTATAAAGATGTGTAAAATGAACATTTCATTCCACCCTGTAAAACTGTAACCATCATTTTCAACTCTATCTGCAGTAGTTAATAATATAAACTAACTGAAGATACAAACATACCTCAGGACTCTTGCGATTTTGCAAAATCTGCTTGTCTGTTTCTTTGTTAGCAAAGTATCTGGTACAGCCTCGATTTAAATACTGTAACAATAAAAAAGTGGAAATGCATAATTAAAGACAGAAGTAAGGAGAACACGCTTTTATTTAAGGCTTGCTCTACATAGCTTGATTTAGAATTTGGAATTAATTCCTTCAAAATGTATTTATTTACAGGTACAAAAGTGTGACAGTAACAAACATCTATTGAAAGCTTCTCGATTTTGACAACCAAAACTTTTTGACACTGTAGGATACTCATTTTGTTAAGTCCCATCATCTTTTTTTAAGGTTTAACGCTACTAAACTTATTAATGGAGTCTGGGATTACAGCAAAGACAATCAAAATTAGGAACCAAGAAAATAAACCTTTTGATCTTTGTTCAGTACCAAACTTTCCTCTTTTTTAACTCACCAGTGATATATTTCTATGGGTAATAAGAGCCATAGTATATTAAAAATCTTCAAAACTATTAAAAGCTTATAATATGGTACAAGCAGAAGCCTAATTCAGAATCCCACTTCTGATATCCACCTCATGTTGTACAGTAAAGAGAACAGACAAGGCATGCAGATGAAACTACCAGCAAAATTGGATCACCAGCATTTTCTTTCTGACTTGTTCAGCTGAAACTAAGAACTCTGTCCAAAAGCTTGGACAGAGCCCTTTGTCTAAAGGAAGTGAACTGATTCTTTGCTCTAGCCCATGAACAAAGAAGATGTTTTCAACTAGGTGAACACAGATAATGCTACCCTTTTATTAAAATTCTAAAAAATAAAACATTCTTCAAAGCCTTTCTAACAGGAAGAAACTAGATGACAAATTTAATATTAAAACGAAGTAACAAGAAACACTGTTCAAAGTTAGCTTGGTGTTTAACAAAACAGTGAAAACTGTTATCAGCCAATAAGAATGCAAAGCACAGTATATTTTAAACACCGTATATCCCTGTATTATAGTATTAGTAACATGATGCCAGAAACCAGGGATGGGAAGTGAAAAAGGTTGTACTGAACAAGAAGAGAATGTGGAAACTTAACTGACAGGCAGAGAACATAAACCAACATGGTATTCAATAACAGCCTATGTAGGAGACATTTAATCACAAAATAAAAGCTTTCATTTGAAACCAAAAACTCAAGTAAATTTACATTAAAAATCTAAGAGAAATTATATTTTTAAAGCATATAAATACACAGCTTGAGGTTATCACAAAAAAAAAAAAAAAACCAAACTTAAATAACTATTATTTAAAAAAAAAAAATACACACAAACCACAAAACAACTCTGAAGTTCAACACCCCGTTACAACATCAGTGACCCAAACGTAAGGCAATCAGATTTATCTTCCAGAAACTAAGATCTGAAAAAAAATCAGTTTCTATCTGCATTAATATGCTCCAGGTGCAGATTTACTTGCAGCTTTATTTTCAACATCATGTGGTGCAGTCCAAGGCACCTAGACCAACAAGGTTCAGCACAGGGTTACCTAATAACTTTGAATTTCTAAATTTCAGCAAGGAAATTCAGGACTGCAAGCTTTTGTGTGGATGTGCTTGGAGGAGGCAAGTGTAAGAAACCTGCAACTTTTCATAGTCCTTTGCTAAGTAAAGTAAATTCATTCTTCCCCAGGAGAACTGCAGGGGAAGAATGAACTTACAGAGAGGTAACCCCCATCAGTGCTGCCAAAATCCAGGCAGGTGCACCCACTGCAGTTGTCTTGGTTCACGTGCCCAGAGCAATCACATGCCTGTGCCAAGCTGGCCACATACATGGGGGAGAGAGGACAAGGGATCAAGTCAAGGGGAATTCATCCTACTAGCGAAAAAAGACCACAAAGTTACACTTGGACTTTTAATATTGTTTCTCTTCTGTGTAAAATGAGAACTACATTAGATCTGAGATGGCCCTAATTTCAGTTAAGTGTGGTTAAGAGAAACCAGGCATTGGACAGAACATGCTGGAGTCTTGGAACACAAGCTGGTCTTAATTCAGACTCTGACTTGATAAGCTATAGCACGTAAGACAAGTGGCACAACAGACCTGTGAAGCAAAACTGTGACTTTAGGGATATTTTTTTCTAAATAATCAATTTAAGTGATTTTTTTCTGAATGTTTCCTGTCCAAAAAAAATATCAAAACACTGATCAGTCAGCAGATCTTGCCTACTATAATTTGGGTTGTTTGAGTTGGGTTTGTTCAGCCTGGAGAAGAGGAGGCTCCAGGGGGACCTTATAACAACCTTCCAGTACCTGAGAGGGGCCTACAAGAAAGCAGGGGAGGGACTGTTCACAAGGGTTTGTAGTGACAGGATGAGGGGTAATGGCTTTGAGCTACAAAAGGGGAGATTTAGGTTAGATGTTAGGAAAACGTTCTTCAGTACGAGGGTGATAGAACACTGGAATAGGTTGCCCAGACAGGTGGTGGAGGCCCCATCCCTGGGGACATTCAAGATCAGGCTGGATGAAGCTCTGAGTAGCCTGATCTAGTTGGAGATGTCCCTGCTTATGGTGGGAGGGTTGGACTAGATGACCTTTGGAGGTCCCTTCTGGCCCAGACATTCTATGATTCTAGGATATCACTATCTATTATTTGAAACTTGAAAGATGGTATTTCCACGAAATTTTAATCAGGCAGACATGCATTCAACAAAAAAAAGTGGTAAAAAAGTGACACAAGTGTGATAATTCACACCATTTTATGATAAAACCTGAAGCAGCAAATGAGAATGAAGAGCAGAGGAGAAAGTAATCCTGACAAAACTAATACAAATTTAGGAAGAATATCAGCCTTTTACAATTGTTTTTGGTTTTGTGGGTTTTGTTCTGATTTTTTGTTGATGTTGTTTTTCTAAAAATCTTTTATGATACTTCATGAAAATTTTGTGCAATATGACTAATGACCTTTAAGTGTATTTATATTAATTTTACATACATACAAAGATGAAAATTATCCAACTTTTTTTTCAGTAAAGATAATCTACTTTAGCTTCCGAAGGGGAAAATTTTTAAAAATATGTCAGGAATATTGAAGCTTTAAAATATAACATGCAGAATGGACCTTTCACATGCAGCAAGGAACTCAGGATTCAATTACTAACTTCTGGTAGAGGTATAAATATTCTTAATGTAAATGGAAGTCGTTGCTGCAAACTCAGTAGAAGTCAAAAAAAAAATTATGTCACAGTGTGATAAGGCTGGTGTGACTGTAAGCTCTTTATAATTGAAACAGGCAAGTGAGTGCCTCCCATAAAGGCACTCAGAGTGTTCAGTACTGTGCTGCAGCATCCTGATTTTAAGGAGGTTATAATTCTGACCTTGACATATACAACCTTCTGTGCTCTCATGAGCAGAGTTTTTAATTAAAAGAAAAAAAATCCCCAAGAGTGGGCATGCAGCACATTCTGTTCCAGACTTAAAAATCTATCAACCACAAGAAGTCAGTTTTAATGGAAAAGTGGCTACACAATAAAAACCTGTATCTGAAAATTTGTTCAAGATTTTAGCTTTAGAACATACAAGATAATATTGCATAAAACAAATGCACAGTAAAGAAGAAAGACTTGAAAAATAGCACCATGTTGTATGAAAACAAATAGTGGGGTTTAAGTATTGCATTTGTTGGGTGTTTCAGAAGAAAAGCTTTCCTTCTAGAGAACACAAGTTCCTTCTTAATAAGCATCAGGTCAAGTTTCCATTGCACAACTGAGTACAAATAAATTAGCTATAACATACAAATTAAACATCTAAAGAAATAATATAAGGTCTATAAAGGCCCACAGAAATGCCTTTAAGGAAGTAAGGAAACTTGTCCTAAAATACTGCCATGGCTTTTAGGGAGCAATATACCACAGCACGTACAATGTGCAAAATGTACCATGTGCACAACATGGAAGTGCAGCTCTGCCCAGTTCCTGCCTCGTCAGTAAGCAGAGGCTGACGTGGCCCAGCCAAGAGGCAGCAGCAACCTTGTCAGTGAACAGTTGCACCTATGCAACCACTGCTTTGCACAAAACTTGTAGGAGCTTTGTATCTTTAAGGCTTCTAGCCCTCTGATATAACTGAGTACAAAAGATCTGGGGGAAAGTAACAGATTAGCACAGTCCAAGAAAACCAAGGAGGAAAATACAACAACAACAAAAACAATCAACACAGCAAGGTAATTCTTTGTTAACAGTGCTCCTCACCTCGCTTAAGACCAAGGAAGCCTAAAAAGACAACAGTCAATTAATTTACGTCTTTGTAACTTCATAGGGTCTCCAGGGTTGTGCTACAAAACCCTTCCTAACCCATAAAAGGATTTGGTATTTTAGAAATACATAAAATTCTGCTTCCGTAAGATTCCAAGCCAAGCATAAGCCAAGAAACCGTGAGAGACAGAGATAAACAAAACAGAAAAACCTCACCAGTATTTACTTGTAGGATTTGATTTGCCAGTAGAAGTCTTTTCAGTGCAAGTCAGCAAAGCACATGGTGACATTTGTAGATATTTATGGTTCAAGTGTGATTGTCAAAAGATAATGAAAAACAAAACTAAAAACTTAACCATATATTTACATTTAATTAAATAGTCAGAATGAGTGACTGAAGGCAAGAGTCTTCACCTTACTAGTAAAATTGGAGGTGACAGTTTAAGATGTGAATATATTAGAATGATCCTGAAAAGGATAGTAGAAGCTTACTTTAAAAAAAAAGAAAAGGGACAATCCAGGAAAAAAAAAAACCTGGTTGGATAAGGGTTCACCCATTTTCTTAAATAAAAAAAAATCCTCTGCAATAATTGAGATCTAATATTGAAAAATTAAAAGGGAATTTAATAAAAAGGGAAACAGGGTTGGAGTCACTCAGGCAAACAGCACAAAATAGTGAAACAAATTTGACTGACAAGAAGGGGAAGAAAGCAAAAGGAAACATCATGTTATTTGTCAGTCGTTTCTGAAAACAATTGAGAAATATGAACATAGAGAAGGGGAGGAAGAAGGAGGAAAGCTGAAGGAAAGTTAGAAGTTAAACTGAAGTGGTAAAAAGAAAAAAAAAACCACCAATTTAAAAAGTTGAAAAATGAGAGGAAAAGAATGCAAGTAGTTAATGGTAGGACAGAAAGTCAGCATGTTTGTGGGATTGCTGCTAGAAACAACACAGAATTAGGGTTCATCAGGAGAAACCACATAACCTCAGAAAAGGGCAAAAACCCTAAAAATAAAGTATGGAGAAAAGAAAGCAAGGCAGCAAACAAATCAGAAGCTGTAAAAACAGGCACACTGGATTGAATTAAAAGACCCATACTAAGAGCTTGGTTTCAACCATGGCCTCTGTTTCATCCAAGAATTTTACTGTTCCTTTGTGAGTTGGGATGCTAGTGTGCATGCTATTTACAAATATGGATGTACATTCCAGCATAATTCACTATTTCATTCTCCCTTCCTTTCCTAACAACCCTAAAATTCTATTCTGCTGTTTCCCAGCCACTGAACATTAATGTAATGTTTTTAAAGAAGGACACAGAATGAATCAAGTCTTATTTCTCCACCTTTTTATTTTAAGTTCACTTTCATTTAGGTATAGTTAGGACCACATTCCTTATACATTCAGCACTGATTTTGTTTGCATTTTATCAGTATCTCCATCACTTGAGTGACTGGACCAGTAACAGGTTGTGGAAAGATAGTCAAAACTTGGAAACAGTAAGCAGTGCTCAGGAAAGAATACATTAGGTGAAGAAAAACTAAGAGGGAGGATCATGCTTCATGAATAGAAGTCATCTTGGCAGAAGAGCTGAGCATAGGCTTTGGGTAACCTGGAGATAAAAGGGCTTTCAGCTGAAAGGGACCGGTTCGTCTTATCATGTAACCTGGGAGTCACCAAGGGTGACAGAGGAGTATGATGACAGGAATGGGAGAGGCTCAAAACTGGCACAGTACAAATTACAACCTAGAGTGCAGAGTACAGTATGATAGGAACAAGGGGCAACAGAGTAGAAAAGTAAGTGATGTGAAAGCACATGGACTAGAACAGAGAAACCCAACAACTTCTTCACCATGGTCTGAGCCTTAATGGGAAGCATGAGGAAGGAATAATTTAAGAGGCAGAATTGTGGGACAACTCCTATGTCCTAAATGCATGGTTTGAATAGGACGAAATAAATGCACTTTTCAGGACTTAAAAGCTGGGTTACACACAAAACAGTTACCATCAAGATATTCACTTTACTCCTCTAGAACAGCCCATAACAACATTACTAGCAGCTGTAGATGCAACAGTACATTTTTGGAAAAAGCAAAGATTCCTCAACTTTAAGACATGGAGAAAAAGTACAGGAAATCTTCCAATAAGGAAAAATCACAAGCAGCTTTATTTCAGGATCAAACAGTTATAGCAAAAAATATTCTGATCTTTTTTTAAAAGGAAACAGTATGTCAAAGATAATAATAGAGATTTTAATAAAATCTATGTATTAGATTATAGATCATCTATGTATTAGATTATAGATCATAGATTTTAATATTTTTTTAATAAAATCTATGATCTATGGCAATATGAGGAGCTATACAAACACCAGCTCTGATACTCACCCTGAAGTTGTCAGGAGAGCTTAGATATAGTTTTTCCCTAATGTCTTCTGGAGCACCAGCACAAAGCCTGTAAAAGATATGATAATTCCTCTCTTCTTTGCCTTGCACACAGATCCTAGATTTCTCCAGAAGGTAATGTGAGACAAATCCACCAACCACCGAATTCTAGGAGGAAGAAATATTTTTCTTATTATCTGAATATTTTTTTTATTATTTGAGATTCAGAGGTTTTCATTTTACATCTGTCTGATCATGACTTTCTCAACAGACACTGCTCAAAAAAAAGATTTAAAAAAAATATTTTAAAATTTATCTATATCCAGTACATAATAAGGTTAGAAAAGAAGCCATTGCCTTTACCATAAATTCTTTCCCTGGCTCGTGTATTGTGTATACATACATTCCTCTTAAAAGAAGGGTCTGCTTCACCCAGCAAGCAGAAATTCTTGGTAGAATTTGAGTATTTCCTGCAAAGAGCATGGCTAGAGCCACCCTTACACTTTTTGGATGACAATAAGTGTCACTGCCGTGCTATTACAACCTTTTCTAGTTGCATCTCACTGAGATTCTTGCAAAGAAGGAGGGGTTAAAATTACAGAATATGTATTTGGGCAACATCTTATGCAGACAAATTATAACCAAACATTTTATTTCTAACACTTGCACTTCTTTTCCAAGATGGAAGTCTGACACAGGTTTTGAAAGCCATTTGCTACCTAGCCCATGATAAAACTCCCTGTGCTCAGACAAACCTTAATACCAAGGAGATTCCTGAGCTTATGGCCACTACAGCAACTACGATGGACTTACTGCCTGACAGATTTGACCATGGTTATGCAGTCACCCATTCAGGGGGCTCCAGTCTGTACTCATATTGCTTTGAGAAACCAGACCTAATAAGGTCACCACAAAGTGAACTATGAAGTTTTGTAAAAAAGGGGATCAAGTAAAGAGGCTGATCTTGGACTGGAAAGCTGAAACAGGCTTTTAAGCAGTTTCTGAAGACACTCTGAGTGATATTTACTTCAGATGAAGTAATTATTCTGAAGCTGAAAATCAGTAGTAGAAGCAGCAATTAATCCACCCAAGTAGAAATTTGGGTCCTTTCTGTAAATCTGTTAACATGAACTGGACTAACAGATACAGTCCCTCTAGCCATAAAAGAATCTAGTTATTTACTGTCTAAACTATTAACCAAAGATCTGAAGTTTATTTACAAAACCATGTGAGGAAAACTTAGGAAATGACCACAAGCTCAAGACCAGATGATGTGCTTAAACTCTACAGGAAGGAATGCAAGAATTGTTTTTTTCATGTCCTCAATCAGAAAGATGAGGAGACACATACCTAATCTCTACAGGGAAGTCTTCATCTTGGCCATGCTGCACAGCAATACAGTCATCTTTACTTGTGGAATGTGTGTATACATATGCTATCCAAACAAATTACACCAAACCAAAATTTTTCATAAGCTACACAGTGAACACTACTTTTGACCAAAAAAAAATTTCCATTATATCTATTACATGCATAATATTCATGTGAGGTCCCAAAATTTCTTATAAATAAATAAAAATATCAATAATTCATTTAAAGTATTAGAGCATTAAAATGGATATGTTTATATTTAATATGCACTTATTTATGCATTAAAGGAATGCATAGATACTTAACAGCAAGTACATTATTTTCTAGATGGGACTTTTTGCCTTTTATTGCAATAAGGGAAGAATTTTTATTCTTTTGTGGATGGAAGAAGTTTTCCTAGTGACTTGACTCACTGTTTCCCAGCAGTGACACAGTACTGTGTGGCTTTGGTTTTCCTTTCCAAATGACAGAATACAAATCAAATCCATAAAGTAGGACAGTAGCTATTTGCTGTAAGATTAATCAGTCTATTCAGCCTACTGCCCGTCTAGCTTTTCCATTTTATGGCAAAAAAAGCATCACTGGTTGCCTGTAACAAAACTGCAGTACCTTTTCATTGAAGTGAATTTCAACAAATTTCCCGAAACGACTGCTGTTGTTGTTGCGAACAGTCTTTGCATTTCCAAAGGCTTCTAGGAGGGGATTTGCTGTTTAAAAAATTAAAATTTTTGAAGTGTTAAAATTTGATCAATAAACTACCAAAAATAAAGGAAGAACAAAAACATACTAATTATACCGTGAATTTATTTAAAATAAGGTTTGAAAATTAAAGGAAAAAATATTACCTATTACAAATAATCAGTTTTGCAAATTGTCCTGCATATACTGTGGGGGACCTTACAATGAAGTATTTAAATATCACATAACACTGCTAAATATTTTAATCAATACTGTAAGAAATTCAGAGACAAACACTGCAAATTATTCAATGACAGTCTTATACAGAAAACAGGTAAATAACTGATACATAAACTATATGAGTCAACAAACAACTTGACACCTCCCAAATGAGTTGTTATTCATAAAATCTAAACTACCCACTTACCCCACAGACCGAAATGTCACTTAAATGTCATGCATGCAACATGTTAGATTGATTAGGGAACAAAAAAACGTACTAGGAGAGTTTGTTGACGTCAAAAACAACTTTAAAATGCCCTTTCAAATTAGGTCAATTGTGTGATTTTAATTTTTACTGGCTGCTGTTTTCAAGTGCCCTGAAGCCCATGCAGAAAGAGTGGCAGCAATCTAATGCATATATATATATAAATATCATGCACAGTTTAAGCAGTTTGAAAATGTTTAATAGTTATGAAACACAAGGCTGCTGAAAGACTGCATTTCACTAGCCCTGAAGATCAAAGAAAAAGATTTACTGAATCACACTAACAATAAACCACTGAAACCACAGTGAGGTTTTTTTAAGGCTTTTAGCTAAAAAATATGCAATGGAAACTAAGGGAGCAGAAACTTCAATTTAAAACTCCACTGACAACCACCTACAAATCTGCTCCTACAAAAATTAAAGAATGGAGGAATAACTACAATGGTTGGATAAAATATGGATGATAATGTAGCATTTAGTAGGACATTATCAGCAATAACTTCTTGTTAGATTTTTCTTTTTTAATACTTAAAGCTTATGAAAATGCAAATCTGACTTTCAAAACTGACCTTAAGAGGTCTTTGACAAATATTTGGTATTTTATGTAATATTAACAGCTTTCAAGAAAAGATCATGAATAAAAACAAATTGCAAGAGGTCTTTCAGATCAGTTAAAGGTTTTATGTTGTCTAGTAATATATATGCTGTAAGCATGCTCATTAAAATTGTGCCCCAAAACTGCAAAAGTCATGCATCAGATGCTGGTTTAGATTAAAAAACTCAAACTCTTCTAAGAATACCTGCAAGTACAAATTAATTTTATGGTATACAGTGTCAGGCATTATCCAACTTTTGTCCACTTTCCGAGTTCCTTTAGCACACAGTGGGTTTCACTAAGGTTTAAGGAAACCTACAGCAACAAGAGATTAAAGCCTGCAGTACTTCTCTTGAATAATCCAGTGGCTCGAAATTGAAAAGAGAAAAATTTAAAGCAAAAGAAAAAGTAACAATTTTTGGTTTAAGAGAAAGACAGAGTAATGAAATTCCAAAATACATCTACTATATGCTACAGAAGACTAAAACTGACATATGAGGTATTATTAAATTGTCTGAGGGTTATTTAGTTTTGAGCTATTTATATTTTCTCAAAAAGTTATTTTCTTTTAATTCATTCAATTAGGAAGTGCATGCAACTTTAAAGAGGCTCAACTGGATGATCAACACAGCCTCTTCTGACCTTGTCTGGGAGTCTATTGTAAAGATAAATACAATTAAAAAGTTAATCCAAATCATATGCTTTTTGACAAAAAAGCGGTAACAGAAAAATTACCCAGAACCATAACTTAAAAGAACTTTATCTGACTTTGAGAACTTTATGGTGAGGAGGAGAAATTACTCTTTCCTGGTACTAACAGATCATAAGGAAAACATAGCCTTGTCCTTGCAAATTTCACATAGTTTAAAATCCAGTCCTGGGTACCTCTTTGTGAAGCTCAACATACACTTAAACAATTTCTAGATCAAGGGTTATATGACACTATACTAAATACAAATAAAGTGAATCACAAATAAAAAATGTTTCCAGAATTTGGGATCAAGGTAAATTATCAGCAAGTTATGCCCTAGGAAGTCTGATAGTACTTCCATCCTAGATTTTAATTCGTTGCTGTTGGTTGACATTTCATATTTGAAAAAAAGAAAAAAAAAAAAAGAAAACATTTGAACCTTCAACTCAAAGAAAGAAAACTCAATACCTTCAACAATTCTATCATCAATATCTTGGCCAGTACCATAGGACTCTGTCAAATACCTGTAAAGCAAGATAAAAATATTGGTATCTTTTGTGCTCAACTGAACAGGGCTTAGCATGGCTGTGCACCATACTTACACTAACCATTTACTAATGAGAAAGCATATTGATTACAAGTACCCAATATATGTATCTTTTAAAATGAATGGTTTGGCTTTTCTTTTTTTGTTAAAACAAAAAAATACCTGCAGACCTCAGAGGGTTTTTTTCAATACTTCAAGACACGCTAGAAATTTCTTTTAGACAGGCATATGGAAATTACACTTTCATACAAATCTAATGCAACTATTATTGTATCTATATTTATTAATAGTCTTAGTAAATGCATAAGGTTTCATGAGTAATTCCTGAATTAAAGACTGTTTCCATGCACACAGTTTCTGCATTCATAATTATTAGTGTTAATAAAAATCCCACAGTGACAGTGAGATAGGAGATTGTAGTTGCCTAATTGAGGTAAGATTCAATTTAGCAATTGAAGAAATATTTTTAAAATAATTCCACAATGTGTACGCTCTAAAGTTGCCATTTTTTCTACTACTTTTTTTCCTGCACCCAGGGTATGCATTCTGGAAATTCACAAGTAAATCTGGGACAACTTAAAATAGTTCTTGAAAATGGGGCCTTAAAAAAAAAAAAAAAAACAACAAAAACCACCACACCACACCCACAACAACTTTACCTTTTTCTTTCTGATCACACAAGGAAAAAAACTTCCTGCTCTTAAAACTCAACAATTTTCTGTACCTGAACTCAGTGGGGCTGGGTGGTAAAGAGATGCATCAGCAATGATATTTGCCTGCTGTGTAATCAGAGCTTCCTTTACTGAGAAGCAGCATAACCTCCTTTGAGAGTATTCCTCAGGAGATATTCTCCCAGTGCCTGCTATCTTTTTTTTACTTTTAGTAGGACCAAAGTCAGGATGTCCCTTGTAAAAATGATTACCAGCACCTCGTAGAAATTCTTACAGCCGTCTATTTCAGGTTGCACAAGGACAGAGGAGAACAGCTTGAAGGACAGACATCCGTGACAATTCTTCATGGGATGTGGAAGATAATACCACTACTATACATAAATACTAGGGAATACATGATGTCAGGGAAAAGGGAATTAAAGATTTATACAGGGAAACAAGGACAAGGGAGGGAAGGGAGTGTATCCACACTGCCTGCACTGTACTTCTCTGGATACCAGGGCACCTATGCTAAAGGTGAATTTAATGGAGCAGTGCCTTCAAGCTGCAGTGTTCCAGAGTGACATAAAGCATACATACATACTTAAAGTATAATACAAGTATGTTCAAAAACATTAAAAATCATTGAGGAAGCAAGGCTGATATATATCAGCAATACCAGTCATACACAAACATCAATAAATAAATCAACCCCATTATTCAATCTTATTCTCTAAACTAGGTTAAAGTGTATTATAGAATCCCTGCAGCCAACTCAAAACCAAGAGTTAAAAACCCTGGATACTCAAACTAAAAAAAAAACTAAGCAAAAACAGAGAAATGCACATTTATGGCAAAACCAAGAGTGTCTGGCAAGATACAGCTAAAATGCCTGGTTACATTTTTAACTACCACAATACCAGATGTGCAATACCAAAATAACTACCTCATAAACCATAATAGCTAAATGATGTCACTACAAGTGAGTTAAGGTTTATGTGAGCATGTAGCTGTTTCCATATGCTATCATGTCAGCATTTACATTTAACTCAATGAATTTCTCATATAAAGTGCCTGTAGAAGTGTATGTCTATCTTAATAAATTGTGTCTTAAACCTACTGATGACCTCACGATTTGCTCTCTCTGTATGTCAAACAAATGCATCAACACAAACGATTCACAGAATAAATTTGATCCAAAAGCACAAACCTCAAAACAAATTTAGTGTTTTCTGTCTTGCCAGCTCCTGATTCTCCAGAAACTATGATGGACTGGCTCATCTTGAGCACTTTCATGTCACGGAAAGCTTTATCAGCTTAAAAAGAATACATTAAACATGACAAAAATTAATACTCAGGAGAACTGCAAGCATAAAGTTAAGCTACAATGTAAAATTAAAACGTAGCATTTTCAGGAATAAAAAGTAAATTTTTACAATCAAGTGCATTACAACTTCTCAAAGTCTGTTTCTCTTTAATTTATATTATAGCTGCTCACCCTCTACCACAGACATATGAAGAGCTTAAAGTCTCTGAAAACAAAGACCTACTCAACCATATACAGGACAAAATAAAACAAAACCAACCACCTAAAACTAATTCTCTTGAAGTAAATATTTTTACAAAATAGTAACCAATCTTACTTTAATATTTTTTTTACAGGGAAACTTTCAGTTGTACTTTGTAACAAGTAACATCTGTGGTAAGGAAACTTGAAAAAATATGGGTTTCTTGTTATGCAACAAGTACTGAAAACTCAGCTATTTATACTTTTGATTACCAAACAAAGAGCAACACAGTGAGAAGGCTTCTAACAATTCAAATGTTGATTTGTAGTCTCCACTTTTTTTTTTTAATTAAAAAAAGTGGCTGAAATCAGGTTCATTGACTTAATAATATTTAAATACACTTTCTACCTATAACACAAGCTTATAAAAAGAAACAGTGCATGTGCTCTGGCAGCATAATAAAAGGTAAAGGAAATCACTACACTAAAAGACAGTGCCAATCATAATTATGTCATTCTTCACTTGTAAAATCTAATTTTTATCTTTTTATTTAATGGTTATAAATTATATTTAAACTGCTTAGCCATAAAACAACGTAGGTGCAGAATAATCATCACAGGTTTGCTAATTCCCAAGTTTTTCAAACTGGGTAGCAAGGACAAGAAGTTTTGCAATTTTATCAATAAGTGCTTTTATTTTATAATGTTTATGTAAATGAATAACTGTCACAGGATACATACCAATAGCAAAAACATGTGGTGGCAATGTTCCAAGTGATCTACCCTGGTACTTCTTAATAGTATCTGAAGAATAAAACTTAGGTATATCAAAATATGGATTCACTGCAATAAGAATGTTGGCTACATAGGTCTGTGAAGAAAACAACAGCAAACTATTAGCTAGTATCCAACCAAGTAGTTAACAGCAATTTTCTATTACTGTTGAAGACTACATCCTAAGTATTACATTTACAATTCTCTCCAGCTTATGCAGATACAAGAAGGGATATATTTTTAGAGCTCCTCTAATTATCTTCTCAGGACTTTTATGAAATTCTCACAGGAGAATTTCCTAACCACTAAGCTGTGGAGTATGTCCTGGATTTGACCTTTCTCCTAATTTCCTTCTAAATTATTTCCTATTGTCTGAGTTACTGGATAAAGAATAGGACAAAACAACCTCCTCCTCAGAAGTGAATTAACTAAGCTCCTGGCTAGCGCAACACACCCTGTCTCCAGTGAGGAGGGTAAGTTTTCAATAACTAATGGAAGCAACACAGCAGGAAGGACTGACAGGATCCTGCCTGGGAATGTGCTCAAGCCAGGCAATAAAAGCATTCAGATGAGAGAAATTAGCTATGGCTGCTTCTACAGTGAGAAATACTGAATGCAAATGTTCCACCACACAGCACGAATTTGAGAAGAATCTCAAACCAAGACTGCTTTTTATCTTTCCACAGGGTAAGGGAGACTGAAGATAAGGAGTATTTTTAAGGTTTCTGAAAAAAAATTTCATAGCTTGGTTATAACAGCCAGATTATATACAAGGCAGAACAAATGTCTGTATCACAGCAAAGAGCAGATTTGCAGGAAAAGGTTTATCTGATTTTCTTCAGAGCTTCAGATTAAATAACTTATTTGTTTCTCTTGTTGCTGAGCATATCCCTAGACAACTGAAATTTGGACACTACTAGATACATTGATAGATGACTGGATCACACATAATATATGAATTTTCTTAGATGTTTCTATTTTCAGCACTTATTTCACTGAAGGAAAACATTTCAAGAGCTGCAGGTACTAATATTAGTTTTCCTTTTACTAACAAGACAAATACTGTTAATAAGCATTAAACAAAAAGAAAAAATTTGTTCATTCAATCTCTATCTTAAAGTTACAGGGGAAAGGTAGGTAAAATATAAATTGAACCATTGAAACTTTTTCTTTTTTTTTTATTTTTTCCTCCAGAAAATACAACTGCTTAGGACAAAATATTAGTAGTACATGTTTACAATGAAGAAAGGCTTTATGAACCTAAACAGTATCCTATCTCATAACCAGGTCACATTTAGAACTTTACTTCCTTGGGTTTTTTTGTTCATTTGTTTTGTGGGGTTTGTTTGTTTGTTAATTATTATCATTTTTCCAGAACAACATTCAAATAGTCATTTTTACTTACTTATTTTAAAGCTGGTGCTTGGTCTTGAAGCAAAAAGAACTTATAGCTATAGAAAGGTGACTCCAACAATGGAAAACAACTATACTGTCTTTTTATATTTATATAAAACAGTTTAACTGTAATTCAATTCATTTTAGAACAGCATGCTAACATAAAAGTCTGTTATTTTAATACAGAAACTTAAAAAATACATAGAACTGTTTTGTATTAGGAAAAAAAACAATAAGAAAGAAAGAAAATGTTGATCTTTCTTCTATTTCACAGCTGTCAGTGTCCAGGCAGATGGCAAAGACAAAATGTAATTTAGTCAGAATTCATTAAGTACAATTAGGCAATTTGATAGCACTATAAAAGATTAAGATGGACACCTGAGCTAGGAGGTGTCAAAGACGGCACCTGTTGGCTTCGTTCAAAAATAATGAAGAAAGAAAACCATCTTTGTTAACAGGTACTCTACTGGTGAAGTAAGTTACCTGTAAGAACAGACCTCTCTGATACAACATTGTGCTATGGTTGCACATATAGAAAAAAATCTATTGCTCTGCCTGGTAAAAATTAGCTAACACTCATGTGATTAATGTGATTCAAAAGCCAAACAAAGTGCAATGCAAAAAAATAAAGGCCTAAAACCTCCTGACTTTGTAATGTTACAGTTTCTCTTTAGTTCCTGTTATAAGAAAGAAGAGAATTGGAAACACTTGTTTTGTTGATCTTTCTAAAGGACTGGTGGTTGTGACACGTCATACTTACGTAAATTCTGTCCTTACTGTACCGAACTTTGATATTGTGAAGCAGAGTGGCCTCGTTTAAATACATAAGGGAACCTGCAAGTAAAAGACAGTCATGTACCACTAAGATCTCAGGACTACTTTCGTGTACAGCTGAAAACCCGCATCTTAGGATTTAGGAGAATTCTATTTCCCATCTCTTTGGTTACAGTTTAGTCCTAGCAATCATTTCTTTCCAGTGCCTTGAGGCAGAACTCCTGACTCAATACATGCTTTAAAAAACATAGCCCTGCTCTTTGCTGTACAACTGGAGTCACAGAAAGTTGCTGAACAAAGAGTTATACTCCAGAAGTCTCAACACAGGCTCTGGTCAGCATAACCAGCTTTTTAACCTTTTAACCAGCCACAGGTGAATAAAACACATCTCCATGTCCATCCACCTTGGCCCATAAGCACAGAAACCAGTGCCCACCAAAATCCCTAACACTGTTTCCTTCCCTCCAATCTCTGCCACAGTACCCCCAGGGCAGTGCCACCTCACTGACATTTAGAGTAACTGCTGGCTCCTGGTGACTTCACCCATTCAATCAGGAAATACTGCCCAGAGGCAGCACCAGGCACCACTGCAACACCAGCCACCAAGGCAATCTTTTGTGTTTCAGTTCAGAATTTTGTTGCTACTAGACCTCCATAAAGAAACTACTAGGGGGAAAAAAAAAATGTTAACACACCAAAACCTAGCTTTATTTTTCTCCTTAGCTCATTAATATTAAATAACCAAAGCACTCGGCTGGAATATTACAAGGTAGCAGCTCAAGGCAGCGAGCGGGCACCCACAGAAAGCTTCAGACCACAGGGGTTCACATCCTGGTAAAGCTGGTCCTTGTTTTCAGCTATAAAGCACTGCAAAGTGCTAGCAGCCTTAATTACAAAAGTCATTACCAGTTCCCATTGTAACAATATTAAAAACCTTACCCCTAAACCAAGTGGGCGCACTCCTCACTATGTAGCCTCTGTTCTCAAATAGGCTCAACCCTCATTTTCTCACGGCTTAAAATTCAAGTGCACAACACTACTTTGTCTAGTTACAACTGACTGACCACCACACTGGTAACCTTACAGTATTGGCTCCACTGAAAAAGCTGCATACATCTGTCTGCTGTTGATGGAGTAAACACCATGCCTCTAATTGTGACTGATACCCCACACCTCACATGAGGGCCACACATGCACCTCTCATCTACAGCAACCAACAAAGTTGTTTCTCAGATTGATCAGTGTCCTTTCTTGAGGGCTCCAGCAGAGAAAAATGTATTCCAACTTATTTACATAAATGAGCAAGAAGTGCTGCAAGTTCTTAGGACCTGAATTCAAACTGCCCAGCCACCTCCCCTTGCAAGGACACCTGAAGCAGGTCTTCCTTAACATTGCCTTCAACATCCCTCCTGCTGAACCAAAACATACTGGCAAAGAACAATGGGAACTTCTCCATCGTATCTGCATTTTCACTTTCCATCTTTTACTGTTCCTTCCACAGCTGACCTAGGAGTGGCTCTGCCTCCCACCACCTACTCCAGATCGGACAAACACTTTCCTTGACTGTATCTTCATAACCTCTCAGGGTTGGCAGCATGTTTTAAAGGAAACAGTCATTGGTTAAGCATCCTAATAAAAACATAATAATTATCTAAACAACAATGGGCCCCAGATTTCAGTGAGTCCCCAGTACTCTTTGCAGGTCCTTTTTAAAGCAGTTATACCTGCAGACTCAGTACATAATGGGAGCTTGCTACCTCACGGAATGTCACAGCCTTCACTCAAGACATGCAAACTAAGACTTATGTCAGCAATTTCAAAATATACCTTCTTTAGAATAAATCCTTCCAAAAAGGCATCCATATCCAGAGGCGAAAGAAGACACCAGAGACAGAATTCTGAATATTCATACGGCTCACGCCTAAACATAACCAGTGTATTTATGTGCATTAGGTATGCACATGAGATAAACCTCAACTAGTGAGCAAACAGTGAGCATACTCACTGAATATTCTCAAAAAGTGAGAAAATTATCAAAATAATGTTTGATACAGAAGCATTTTTAAGTTATATATTTCACTCAATAAGCCAAAGAAATAATTTTTCCTCTGACAGGAAGACTGTTTTAACTTAGTTGAATAGTATTTTGCTGGAATCTTAAATCATTTCTATAATCTCACTTCAAATTTCAGTTCCCTGACTAGGACACTTAGGTGCCAGGACATCTCAGTAAAATCACTGTGACAGATGCACAAATTAAATGTACTTCCCACGAACAATCATTGTATGCAGAAAACACAGATACCAGCTTTGAAAAGTTTCAACCCATGTAATGTTTGCAAAAATATAAGCAACTAGAAACAAGGCTACCAGCTTGGTTCCACCTCTAATGACACTGTATCACCTAAGTCAGATCAAGTCTCTGGTCTTATCTTCTCTTTCCTTATCGGGCAGCTGTAACAGCTGCATTTCCTGTCACAGGGTACAGATACTAACCCCTACTCCAAAACAGGAATTGCCTTAAGAACTTTCAAAGCCTTAGCTGCCATTTTAAATGAACTATAGAAGATACTTCCGTCCACCATTTACAAATTTACCAGCATTTTCACTACCTTCTTTACTGGTTTAAGATTTAAAAGAATTGCCTTTACCAAGTTTTCAAGACAAGAGAGTCTGTGCAACTTGTTCACAGAGATCAACAGTAGCAAAATATTTGTTTAACCATTCCCTAAAAGCTGATGTACTCTAAAAGCTCGTGCTTACTCATCTTGCTCAGTCCTCTCTCCCCTCTCCCCAGATGCAAATACCGTATTTGTTTCCACACATCTAGCTCTACAATAATGAATAAAAGCTCTGCAGATTAACACTGAAGTTTATTACACAAGTTCACCTCATAACTTCTTCTCCAGCAGCACTCCTGGATCTCATTCACCATAACCCACTTCCCTTCCCAGTGGCCCCTACGGGTCCAGACTCCTGTCTCCAGTTTTGGGAGGGTTATCTCAAAATTTGTTTCCAACTACCTGTACTTCCACAGGAATGCTATCTGAGAAATGGGTTACATGCCAGAAGAATGCTGCTGATAAAACAACTAATTCCTCTGCTACACTAAGAAAGATAAAAGTTAACCCTCATAATGCTGAATGCAATTGATCCTGATGCAGTTAGGAGACATCTCATCTATATCTGAAGTTGGGTAATAGTCATATGCGGGAATAATGTAACTATGACTTCCTCTAAAGTGTTCAACTGAAAAGTAAAAACCACAATTATATTTAAAATGGACTGACTTTAACAAGTTTAAAAGGACTAATAGAGGTCAAATAAATTCAAGCAAAGAAGTGAAACAAAGACTACAAGTAAGAAACAGGAAGCTTGTAAGGAAACTCTACTCTCTTCTATACAGATTTTTTTTTCAAAAGCATAATTTATTTTTGAATTCATAACTTACAATTATCTTCTACATCTTTTTTGCTGTCCTCTTCTGCAGGAAACACTTGATTTATAGCAGCCTGGAAAGTCTGTTTGATGAAAAATATTAACATTGTCAGAATTCCATAAGAATAGAAATATAGTTCAAAGATGTCTTATGCAACGACATCAGTGAGTGCACTGTAATTGTGCATGGTTGAAAATGAAGTTGCCAGCTTTATACTTCAGCACTGTAAATTTTACTGAGCTACTAGATGCAGATTGGAGCAGCTGCATCTACATTATCACACTACGTGCTAAAAATCCTGTCACTAATACATATTTTTATTTCAATATTTGATGCTAATTTCAAAAATCGCATGTAATGTTGTAATACTGTGTAATAAGAAATAAGGATAAAAAAAAGTACTGCAAAGGGAAAAAAGCATTGTAAAGGACATGCAACTTCCTCAGTTTTGCAAAAGAGCACAAAGAATAAAACCCAAATTATTAGTTCAGTCGAAGGACTGTGCTCTCATCATAGTCTGTTTTAAAACCTTCTTACTTAAAATATAAATGTTCATTACAGAATATCCTCTGTATCCCCAAATACTGCAGCTTTGGTTGTTGTTTGTTTGGGTTATTTTTCTTTAATAAATCAACATGAAAGTAAAATAAGATCTTTCTTCAATCCTTGTATTCCAGTTACATGAAAGAGACATTTATCAAGTGTTCATGTCCAGCTGCAAAAAATTCATAACAATTGCGACTGTGTTTCTTATTTATTGTCCAGAAATCATAATTTACACTGTTGTAAAAAGGAAGGAAAAACATCCTAGCACACACGCATTACAGCATCTGCACAAAAATACCTATTGTAAGAGGTAGGGTTTTAATTATACTTTTTTGTTTACCATAGTAATTGCTTGTTTGAGCTACCTATGAATGAACAAAACTCCTGTTGTACCAATTAAACACGATAGCCAACATGCTGCTGCAGGCAGTCTGCTTTTCCCCATGGACATGGAGACAAGAAGTCTAGTCTCATATTTGAAAAGGCAACCAACTGGATCTAAAGAATGAACTTAATAAACAAACATGTTTAACATTGTGCTCTGTAAGATTGTCCCATGAGAAACATCTCACACAGAAGTTTAGAAGGAAGACAGAAACTTGCTTCATCTTTGCTTCAGTACAATAGACAATATATGAGCTCTTGTAGCTTACACCACCATAAGCAGCCAGTCATAAATTCCAACTCCTTTTGAAGTGTAAAGGGTTAAAAATGTTTCGGAGCAGAACTAATTGGTGCCAGACAGAAAACAGTAAGTCTGCGATAACTCTTCCCTAGAAAGTTATCATGAAGTATGCAATTTGTAGCCATAATGAATTATATTTTGTCCTCCCCTTATCAGGATCTAATGCAGAAAAATACACACAGGAAGATTTAGTAAAGGAAATGGTGCTGCTTGATGACGTTGGAACATGTGAATATCCATCAGATCAAATTCCTCCAAAATATCCTTTTTCAGAGCTTGGTGGAGCCACGGAGGACCTGAACACCTTTACCTACCTCAGAAAGTTACCAGTTACTATTCAGAGTTAATTGAAGAGCAGGGATCCACTCCCTTTCCTCCCTCTCACAATGCTGTAGTTAGATCATATTATCATAATAACTTTCTCACAAGTCTGTCAAGGATAAAGGTCTATCTTGTTGGGTAAAGATACATTTGAACACAGCTTTTTCCAACATAATCAGTTCCCTGGGCATGAAACAGTGGAAAAGTTTAAAAAGAGTACAACCAGCTTCATGAAAATCTAACTTTACTTCTTGTTCTTGTCTGCTGAAGTGTAACCCAAGTTTAACCACAAAGACAAAAATACTTTTCACAAGAGAGTGAACAAGATACCCAGCCATTCTGTAAGACTCTTCACAAATCTCTGATACTTTAACATTTCATGGATCCAAGGCAGCCATAGCAGATCTATTCCAGAAGATGAAGCAAGAGCTTTTTCAATGCCCTAACCATTCAGCCTTCCGATTCAAGACAAATTTCAATTAAAAAAAAAGGAGAATTCATGTTGCATTATGTCCTCCTTAGTTTTTTCACTCAGTGTGAATTGTGAATTAATTTCTAGAATATTTCAAAAGTGATAAAACAAATACCAATATGAATACGACTTATCTGAAAGCTCATGTTTTTCTGTTGGACTTTGGACCGGAACATGAAGCCTAGCTTCTACTACGTCAACAAAGAATTTCATTCCCATATGTCACAGCTGGACTACTGCTTTATGTAAAGTGATTGCTTGTTATGTAGGTAAGAACACTAGCTAGATATGCAGAGCTCTGAGTATTGCCAATTACTATTAAAATCTAGTAAGTTAAATAGGAAAATGGGCAACGTATCCCAGGTCTATAAATCAAAAAAGTTATCCAAAGAAATTCTTTACTATGCTGCCTCATTTCTTTACCTTTTGTTTTTTTTTTTTTTTTAAATAATGTAAAGAGAAAACACTTCGGAAATGGAAGACTGGTGGAAGACTTTTGCATTAAGGCACAGTTTAGGACAAACCTGTTCTGAGAAGATGAAGAAGATATTAATCTTATGAGACACTGAAACAGTCTCCAAGAGGCAAGGGGGTTCTGTAGGGTTTTTGCCCTGCTCTTTGTAATGAAGCATCCCTTGAAATCCAATGGCAATTTTAACTACTCTCCCAGAAACTAGATGAGTGAAAAAAGATACCTTTCCATTCAAGCAGGATCTTCTTTCTACCAAGTAATCCAATACATGTAACCATGCCTTTCTTCATACCTTTCAGATACAGACAGGAGACAACCCTCCTCTCAGCTGTATTCTACAAGCCAACTTGAAGGAGTACAAACAGTGTTTAAGACAGACAAGAACATGTCTCATTTATGCAGGCAAGCTGTGCTCACTGCTAAAAAAAACCCACCCCTTTGCTTGAAACACTGAACTTTGGACATTCTGATCCTTACTTTCAAAGCACATTGATTCATTTATACTTAGCCCGGAAAATACCTTTCCGGTTATTCACAGCATACCAGAGCAGGTGCCCCATAAAGCTCTCCATAACCCTTCAGAACTGGCACAGAGACAAAAGGTGCCTCTGACCTGATGGCAGGAGGGGTGTCAGCAAGTGCCTGCAGCAGCACCACTCGCCTTACCAACAACTGCCAGAAACTCAGGACTGTTGATGCTCTAGGAAATGCCTGCCCCCACCCCTCAGTGCCAGGGGTATCCTCCAAGTGCAAGTGCCTCCGAGACACCTCTCCCTAATCACTTCACTTAGATTTGCTACCTCTAGGAAAAGAGTAAATTCCCCAACTGGCAATTTCAATGTCATCTGCTTCTCCCTGTTACAACATCAAGCAAGACAACACAATAAGAAACAGGCAACAGGATCTGTGGTTAGGATTCCCAGTAAGTTCAGGAAAGTAAGCCAAGAACACCCCAAGCAGAAGTGTACATTGAGTTGAGTTCAACAACTGGCTGCCTTTCCACTCAGCTCCTTCCTTGTACACCAGTGTGTGACTGCTGGTGGGACACGAGCCAGGGCTGCCAGCCCCAGCCCCCTCGATCCAGTTCAGAGCCCATTCTTAGGGCAGCTAAGAAGGTGCCATGCTCATTAGCAAAGCATTCTCCAGTTTCTCTCTCTTCTTTACAGTCCTGGCACTTATCAGCCTTGCAAGCTGGTGATCTAGTTTTCAGGGAGTCGCTCCTGTCAGTGTAACACATGCAGCCTGTGTTATGATAGCACGCTCCTGCTGCCTGGATTACTCCTCTCTGCACAGTGCAAGGCTGGGTGACTCAGACCCCCACCTCTCTTTACACATCCAGCTTCCACAGGGAAATGTCACTGCTGTTATTAACTCTTCCGGGACTGTGGTACCCAAAACTACTACTGATGGTTTATAAGGAAACTGGTGAGTTGGCCCACTACCTTCACCCAGTCTGGTCCAGACTGGGTAACTTGGTCTCATAATAGAAAGCAGTCTACTGGTCTCATAATAGAAAGCAATCTATGGCCTCAGGTCCTCTGTCCTCCTGCCACTACTTGCTGCCATCCTGAGAACTTTCCACTTCTTCATTTTTAAAGTGGATCGGTTCCCTGACCTCGTTTGCTGTGTCACACACAGCTCAGCAGGCAGGACTGAGAGGTGCCACTCTGCCACGCCAGAGCCAGCCAGGGGTGGAGAAGGGAGGGAAGGTTTTAAGACATCGTGAAACTGCTGCCTTGCAGCATTTATTGCAGTTATTAACAACATATTTTAATTAACCATTAAATGGTATAAAAGGCCATAGCCAAGCATACATACATATACATTTCCTTTTCAGCCTGCGATCTCTAGTAAGCTACCAGTGCCTACAGAGAATGCATATGACATGTTAATGACCCAGATTAAAAAATAATAATAAGTTACACTGCCCGGATATGTTTACAAGATCAGGTTACTCCTCTCCTCACTGTAATTATCATGGGCAACTCTGGTGCAGCTAGATCACTCCTCCTTACTGAAGAGCACTTCTGAACCATCATTTTAAGTAAACAAAGTTGATAATAATAGGTATTAATGCTGACTACTTCAAGTTAATGGTCTAAGTGCACATGAACAGCGTCTTCTTAAGAAGACAAAAAGCAATGAGGAATATTTCACCATAAAAAGAAATCAATGGCACCTTGAAATGACTGCAAAGGTAATGAAGAAAATGTTTTGCTCCACCACTATTAATATAAGGACCTTTGATAATTAGATATATAGGACCACATTCTCTATGGTATTTAAACTGTGAGGTGCTTGTTCCCTTAGATGAGTGAACATTAGACCCTTAATCGAACCACTTAATTGAAGAAAGCAGCCAACAGCAGAATACCAAACTTCCCATACAAAATAGATTGATTGTTGTGAATCATGAAGCAAAATATTTGTATTTTAGGATCAGTTTTTGTTTTCACACACACACTAATATATACAAATATGTGTATGCGTGTGTGCTCCCTGAAAGGTGTGTGTTAGAAATGGCAACTCAGAAATCTCCTTATTGCCTTTTTCTGTTTCAATATACAAACTTTTGGTCTTTATCACATTAGAACCATTTGGGGATATACACAGAAATATCCATGAGGATCAAAATCATTTCAGTCAGGTAAAGAGTACTTAGCCATAGCTTTGGAATATTTAACATTCTTGCCCAAACAATTTTGCTCTTCCCCAAACAGAAGGATACATATTACTACTAAACCTACAAACTTTCTCTCTCACATACAAAAATCAGACATTACACTTGCTTTATATTTCTAAGGAAAGGAAAATCAACTTCCTCTCCAAAATGTCAAAAAAAGAAAGCCTATAAACATTTAAACATTCCCCCGGAAGGAAGAACTGCTGCATCACCTTTTGACCCGTGACAATGGATTCTCTACTATTGTTGATGTGAAAAAATAAGTTACGAAAAACATTTTGTCTTTTACACACCCAAAGTTACAGAAAGGACAAAATTGTTACAAAGGGCACATACCACATATTCACAAATTCAAAAATCGCTCCTTTAACAACAGGATCTTATTCTTGCTAGTAAAAAGTAGGATGTTGACCACCTGAGTTACAATAATTGATAGATACAAAGTGCTTCCTCTAAAAACTGGTATTTAATTATGACACACTGAATCTGAAAGATATCATGATAAATGAAGTCAGAACACACTAATTAGGATGAATTAGGAATCTATTTTAAAAATTACATTTATTTTGCCTTTAATTTGATGTAGCAATTCCATAGGACCTTTGACATCCTATTAATTCTCAAGGTCCTTGAGGTAAGAGGATTCATCTCTCAATCTTCATCAGTCTAACAGCAAGGTGTCTAGTCTAAGCCAGAACCTAGCACATCCCTGTAGGATGCATCCCTCCATGAATGTAAGGGAAAAGAAGAAATTAATCTCAACAGCAGACTCTTAAACAGTCTCTAATTTAGAAAAATAAAGTATACAGTACTTAATCAAATGTCTACAGAGATTCAATCCTCCTCTCTTTCACAAGTACATACTCAATGTACATGCAGGTAACTGACAGAAATCACACACGTCTCATCAGTGGGATGATTCATTTGCAATGCAAGCTAAAGCTAAACAAAAATACATGCTTAGATACCACTTAGACACACACAGTTCTATGGGGCCAGAAGGAATGCACGCAAGGGTACTGAGGGAGCAGGCAGAAGTGCTCACCAAGCCACTTTCCATCACTTATCAGCAGTCCTGACTGACCCAGGAGATGCCAGTGGACTGGAGGCTAGCAAATGTGACACCCATCTACAAGAAGGATGGGAAGGAAGACCCTGGGAACTACAGCCTCATCAGTCTGACCTCAGTGCCAGGAAGGTTATGGAGCAGATCGTTTTGAGTGCTACCACATGGCACATCCAGGACAACCAGGGGATCAGGCTCAGTCAGCAGGGGTTTATGAAAGGCAGATCCTGCTTTACTAACCTGACCTCCTCCTATGACAGGGTGACACACTTAGTGGAGGTGGGAGAAGCTGTGGATATTGTCTACCTGGACTTCAGTAAAGCCTTTGACACCTTTTCCCACAGCATCCTGCTGGAGAAACTGCTTGCTCATGGCTTGGACAGGTATAGTCTTCACTGGGTGAAAAACTGGCTGGATGGCCAGGCCTAAAGAGTAGTGGTGAATGGAGTTAAATCCACTGCTTGTGGCCAGTCATAAGTGGTGTTCCCTAGGGCTCAGTACCAAGGCCTGTTCTCTTTAATATCTTTATCAATGATGTAGATGAAGGGATCAGTAAGTCTGCAGATTACACCAAGTTAGGTGGCTGTGCTGATCTGCTTGAGAGTAGGGAGGCACTTCAGAGGGATCTGGACAGGCTGGATTGATGGGCTGAGGCCAATGGAATGAGGTTCAACAAGGCCAAGTGACAGGTCCCTGCACTTGGGCCACAACAACCCCATGCAATGCTGCAGGCTTGGGGATGAGTAACTGGAAAGCTGCCCAGCAGAGAAAGAACCCAGGGGTGTTGGTTGACAGCCAGCTGAACATGAGCCAGGAGTGTGCCCAGGTGGCCAACAAGGCCAACAGCATCCTGGCTTGTGTCAGCAACAGTATGGCAAGCAGGACTAGGGAAGTGATTGTCTCCCTGTACTCAACACTGGTGAGGCTACACCTCAAATACTGGGTTGAGTTCTGGGCACCTCAATAACAAGAAAGACATTGAGGTGCTGCAGTGTGTCCAAAGAAGGGCAACAAAGCTGGTAAAGGGTCTAGAGAACAAGTCTTATGAGGAGTGGCTGAGAGAACTGGGGTTATTTAGCTTGGGGAAAAGGAGGCTCAGGGGAGACCTTACCACTCTCTACAACTACCTGAAAGGATTAGTAGTCAGGTGGGGTCAGTCTCTTCTCACAAGTAACATGCAATGGGACAAGAGGAAATGGCCTCAAGTTTTGCCAGGGGAGACTTAGATTTGATCTTACGAAAAAATTCTTCACCAAAAGGGTTGTAAAGCACTGGAACAGTCTGCCCAGGGAAGTTATGGGGTGACTGTGCCTGGGGGTATTTAAGTGTAGATATGGTGCTGAGGGACATGGTTTAGTGGTGAACTGGCAGTGCCACGTTAACGGTTGGACTTCATGATTTTAAAGGTCTCTTCCAACCAAAATGATTCTATGATTTTTAGCCAAACTTGGAACAGAAACTGATTTTCCACTCCCTCAGGCTGCACATAATAATGGATATTGGCAAAGATTTGGCCTACAGGTAAAATAGTTTTTGTAAGGTTTTTCCCCGTTTGTTTGTGAGGCGCTTACCTTGCCTTTCTGATTCAAAGGTTCAATAGTTAAGTTGTCAGTGCCAATGTCCACAATCATCCCCATCTGAAACCCATCAGTTGGGTGTGGAGCCCAAACGGGCTTCCCGTCCTCCATTGTGGGATCTATCCAGTATTTCCTGCAAGGGGACAAAAAAAAAAAAAAAAAGTCATATTCACATTAAGTTATCAGGATTTGCTGTACAGACTTCATTTTATTACGTTTATTCCTATCATCCAGTGAGGAAGGAGCCAGCCTGCAGACTGGAGTCAGCTTGCGAGGACACGATTCTTTCAGCCTTTTGCCAATCTGCAATACTTTGCTTACAGAGGACACCCTCAGGCTTGAGTACAGAGAAAATTCCAGAACAGATCTATTTTTGTGGGGGGTCCACGGACTGCTCCCCACATCTTCTTCCCCAGTTCCCTAACTTGTGAACGAAAAAAATTAGTTTATCTCACAATCAAAACAGAAGGACAAGACAGATAGGAAGTTAAGACTGTTCCAGCAGCATGTATAGACACACGCGTAGACACACACATACATATACAAACATACATGCATGTAGTGGGTCATATGATGAATGGACACTTGTCTGCACCTAATCTGGTGTGCAAATACTTGAATTTCTGTAACAGGCACATGCTGAGGCATGTGAGTAGTCTCTTGTCATTTGAGATGACTGAATGTGTTCACTCTTTTCACAAGGGTAAGCATATGGCTTCTAAATAACCCATTAATAAATTCAGTCACAACTGATTTATCCTACTATAAGCCTTTGGAGATTGACCTCTGACACTGCAACATTCCAACTCTGCCTCCTAAGGAACACCAACCTTTACCTTCTATAAAATATTACATGAAAATTATTACAGAGGAATAGATGCAAAGGCCAAGACATTCCAGCCTTAGACTCCTTAAGATATGCAGCTAAATAAGCTCCCTATTAAAAGGAGTATTTGATTGCATGCAATGCTCATTGAGCTAACCAGGAAAGCTGCCAGGATTGGCACGCTCTGAATGGCTAACGGTGCCATTTTAAACATGCTGAATTAGTCTCCTTTTCTTTTCCTTGTTTGGTTTTTTTGGGGGGTTTCTGGGGTTATTTGGTTTTGCTTTTTTAAATAAAATAAAAATCACCACCCTGCTTCATAGTTCTACCCTGTTAAGAACAGAGTCCACACAGCTTGAAAGGCTCACTTCTGACTCTTCCTCATACCCCTCCAAAACTAATTCACATACTAAACTGACATGTTTTAGTGATTCCAAATCTTGTAAAAAGTATCTTGTATCACCAAGGTGTAACTTGCTTCTCTCAGCATGAACAAAACAAGCTTGCCAAGCAGCAAAGAAAACACTGGCAGCAAACTCCAAGAATGTGTAAGCTAGGAGACATGTCCCACATATTTCTTTTCCCACATCTGAAGAAAAAGGAACTTCAAAATTTCTCACAACTAATGAAGTCTGCAGATCCCTTTGCCATAAGCAGTAGGAAAAAGTTATCAGCCCACCAGAAAGTTGTACAACCACAAGCAGAAAAGGACACTCTTGTCCCACAGAGGATCTGTCAGGACATGCTGCACATGACCTGCTCTTTCCTGCCTCCAAGGAGTTTAGAAAGGTTTGAAGGGAGAGAAAGAAAAGGGTTGCTGTGACCACTTTGGGAATGCTGATGGTCAACATCTTACTTGTCAAAGGTTACAACAATTCACTGTTAACTTTTCAGAAGATTCTGAGCACAGACTCAGAATGCGAATACAAATATTTTTTTAAATGAAGTAGCATTCTCAAAAGACTTTGAAAAAACTAATTAGAGTACTTAATTTAGTGTTGATATCTGGTTTGTGTTTAAATTTACTCAGTTAATCAGTTTGATTTGGGTTTGTTTGTTTGTGTGTTTTTCCCCTTGAATGCAGTTCAGGATGTAAGAATCACAGAACGTTAGGGGTTGGAAGGGACCTCTGGAGACCATCGAGTCCAACCCCCCTGCCAGAGCAGGACCATCTAGTCTAGGGCAGGTCACACAGGAACGCATCCAGACAGGTCTCAACAAATGTTTCTAGTGTATTATACACACTTAAAACATTGTATTTAATACATGAAAACCTGTGGTTTACTTCTCACCCACAAAGAGAGCATATTAATTTCTTTAATTACTCAAAGAAAGTTTATGTTATTAAACTTTGAGTGTCACATTACCTTCCATTTCCTTCAAAACTTTTGCCACATCCCTTGAACTCTACTAAACAACATCATCTTCATCCTGTGTTCTTAGCATCATACAATAAATCCTATAAAACAACATCTGTATCCACTCAAAATTGGCAATTTTTTTTCTTTTCTTCAGGATACTGTAAATCAGATCTAATATACACCACAGTTTTATGGTGGGTTTGGCATTTTTTTTTCCAGCCAGATCTGACCTCTGAGTACAACTGCCATTGTGGGCATAGTTGCTAAACCGACGAGTTTTATTTCTGGATATAATCAGACCTTCATTTCTTCACAAGCCTGTAATTTGCTTTTAAAATACTAGTTCAAATTAGTACTTAAGTGATATGTCACCCAACCACTAAAAACAAGGCTCCCTCTTACATAGCAAGTAACATGGCCAGGGCTCTGGATGTAACCATGTTGCACAAGAAATAAACCCTGAAATTACTGCCAAAATTTCTGCCAGAAGTTAGAATCTGGCCTCCTCAGTTAGCATCTGGAGGCTTCTGCTCTGCTCCCTGAGACAGGCTTCTGCATTCTTACATATTCTTAAGCCTACTTCATGCTTTATTAATAAATGGTGAAAGGGGAGTGTCACAAGATAAAAAATCCTCTTGAAGGACAGAGCAGCGATTGAATTCAGCCACCAACAGGAAATGCATGGTTTAGAAAAACATCTGAAGCTTTCTAAACATCTAAGAAGCCATTGGGTGAAAGCATCTGAATACAAGTTTAGTAGTTATTCACGGGACAATTGCTTTTAATAAATACAGCCTTCCGCCCGAGAAGTGACACAAAACCAGTTGCAGCATTTCGGTTTTGGCACCACTCCATCTCTGTCAGCTGGGACTCTGACAGGTAGCACATTAAAATTGGATACTGAAACCTATCCATACCTGCTCCTTTATCTACCTCTCCATCTGATGTATATGCCATTGCCCTTGAGACAGATGCATGAAGTCTGTTCCTGAATCAGCTCTTGAATAGCTAGTTTACAGCCCAGCATTTTAAGTTGAACAGAAACAAGAACAAATTCAAAGCTCAACTATTTGTTATATCTCAAGTGAGATGGCCTGTACAGCTTACCCTAAACCATTTCACCTTGTTGGGTCTTAATTGCTGCTTGAGCTAATTCACCCCAGCTGTTCTCCAGGCCTTGCTCCCTGCTCCTGTCTCTTTTTCTCCTGCCCACCTTGAAAGGTACTGGGACAGGGCAGGAGATGGTCTGAGTAAGTACAAATACCTTGAAAAAACAACACAACTATTTTTTCCTACAAATATTTCAATGGCTGTTGCATCCAAAGCGATGGTCTGGAGAAGGAAAAGGACCACTCATTGCACACCAGCAGAGGGGAGACAGCAAACACTGCAACTCCTCAATTTCCCAAACTATACTGAGTGACAAGATGCCAACAAATGGAGAAGACAGTAGGTCAAAAGAGACTCGGCAAAGGAAGATGCCAACACACATTTTATATTATCTAGCAGATCGACACTGGCGCATATTAAAACCTGAGGTAATCATGACTGTGTTTGCACTGGACAGGCTGTACTTCCACAAAGAATGAAGGCATATATGAAGGTAAAAAAAGAAAAGCTTATTTCTATAAACCCAAAAGAATAAATTGAAAGGAACAAGCAACTTCCAGCTGTCATCAGTACCAAACAACTTAGCTATCAGCAAGCTGCAGTACGGGAACATTTGCTTAGACCTTTAAAAGAAAAAGCACTCATCTTATATAAAGCTTTGTTTGGAGACCCTAAAAAAATGTAACAGTTGATCTAGCTTCAAGAATTTAAAATCTATTAAAAAGGCAACATCACACTTTTATTAAGCCTAACCAAAGCCACTAGCTGCTAAAACCTCAGTGGGAAGTTTTCCCGTCTCCCAGCAATGGGGGCTGCAGGAGCAAGTGCTGGTGTGGAAATCATTCAAGTAGACTCTGTTCAACCAGGCTAACTGTGGGTTTGGAAACACATCCCTCACCAGTCCCTGTGAGCACCAAAAATCTTTGTGGCACCCGATGTCACTGTCTTCCCCACATGCAACAGTGCCCACCTGCGTCCCCCATGACGAGTACTGCCTGGAGCTGTGGAGACGTGGCTTAGGCAGTAGCACCCTACTGCAGTTCAAAACAAGAACAAAGCAAACACCCCGAACCCCTCAACAGCATGAAAGCTAGGCTGAAGCAGCTCTGACTTGCAGCAATGTACCTCTAGTTAATTTCTCAATAAAATTCCTGCTAGCTATAAAATTCTGTCAAATTTCAGTACCAATTCTGAATCTTCTGTCCCAGATCTTGTTAATTAAAATAAGCAGAGTGAAGCTTTCTGAAAAACCAAGGAATAAGCATGCCATGGGTATCTGCACAAGCATTTTCAACCAGTAGCAATACCTAAGCCAGTAATAGCAACACACAGAAAGAGGAAAAGTAGCAAAACCCAAAACACAATGTCAAATTCCAGCAGACAAAAAAAAAAAAAAAAAAAAGATAAAATTAAAGAAAGAACTCGTCAGTTATGGTCTGGACTCTACTTCAGAAGTTTTACAAAACAGAAATGAGGATCAGAAAACCCAGGATAAAACCAATATGGCTAACAGACAGAGTTGGAAAGACATTGTTCAAACCAGCTTAACTCTTTCAGACTCTGCAAGTCAGCCCTAGTGAAACCAAAAGGCAGCGAGAGGGCAAGAAAGGGAAGTACAAGGCAGAACTCAGCAAAGAGATACAGTCATCAAAGCAAAATCAAAGGCTTCCTAAGCTGTCTCATGGTAAAGTATAAAGAACACACAGGAGCAGACAGACACACTCTCTTGCAGATCTAGCTGGAGTAGCTCAAGCTAAGGAGGTAAACTGTGGAGTTAACTGCCCCTGCAGCAGAGAGACCGCACTGTGTGACCACTGGTAGCAGTGCTCCAGCACACTGA